TTCTCATTTACGTGCAGACAGAGAGGATGACACCTATCTTGATATTTACACCTACGCCACAACGCACAGGGCGGAACGTCGCTCGAAGAAGAGTGGTCTTTCCAGTGTTTACATCTTTATGTGAACTTGAGAAAATAAACTCGTCTTCAGACGTCTGCTGTCATCACGACGCCTGATTTATTAACAAATCTGTCCACATCTCGGGAACTTGTAACAGTGACGGTGCATCTTTCTTTCTGTACAGCTCTGGCGCTGTAGTTCAATATGCGACGTATTAAACACAAAACCACCAATCCTTCTGTACTTACCATGATGAACTCTTACTCCTTAGGGTACGATGTTTAATGAAAACAAATGGTTTCAACCAAAGAAGAATAAAGTGAACCTACAATCGACCATCTCCTAATAGCAGAAGATTATTAGTAGGAGTTTGTTCCGTAACCGGGAAGTAAATAGTCGCCAAGGGAAGTGACCCGAGGAGAAACAACAACCAATCCCCACGTCGTTTCAAAAGTCAAGAACCAATCATTTAACAGAACACCGCCTCTACGTAAGTGATTGGTCTAAAGTTTTGTTTTGACGTGACGTCACACCAATCCGCGTAAAATTCTATGGCGCATCGTCTACCTGTGGTGGCGAACCATTGGCTTGTTCCAATAACCTATCAGCGACGAGTAGCTGAAGGATCTTAACTCTGATTGGCTAGATCGATCTGTTACAAGCCAATAGGAAACAGGAGTCCATCAAACTGATTTGGCGCCAGGTTTTTAACAAGGAACGGAAGATTCTGTATCTCTCTGAAGGAGTTGGTGTATTTTAAATCAATTTATACGTTTGTACGAGTTATTTTTTAATTTATTTAAAAGGTCATTTTTATTTTTTTTTATTCCTAGTCGTCGATAGAAAGGGGTTTGGAAATGTTCGTGTCTGATATTCGGAAGGAGTTCTACGATGTTGTTGTGAATCAGGTAAAAAGATCCCTTTGTGTCGTAGTGCTCAATTATCGAAGAGAGACTATTAAACGTGAGGGTTTCGTTTTAACGCGGTGTATTGTAACGAATTCGAGAGGTATTAAGGGTATTAGTGCCAGTTAATGGTCTTCAGGAGTTCCATATTTATACTTGGGTGTTTTAGCAGACGTTGGATACTTAGTTTGCCTGTTTTTTCAGGGGTTGTCATAACTCGCCCAAAGAAAAACAATGTTGCACTATCTTTTTAGGGCGGCAGTTTAAACAGGCGACCGAGAGGGCGATTTATTTTTCTATTTTAATAGAAGGAAGGTGTTTGGTGTTATTTACCTTCGTGTTCCGTGTGAGTGTTTACATATGACATCTGTAGGTGTTAATAAAATATCGTCGCTTCATGCGAAGATGTGTTCTGTAATTGTCTTTATATTTTATTGTTGTTTTTCCTTTTTCAAGTGTTTTGTCTTCTGTGTTAGATCAGTGCCTGGCCCATGATCAGGTCGACGTTGGCAAAGTCAATCCGTCATCAAGCTGACTTGCTACAGAGCATTATTCTTCCATTATATACAGTGCATAGAAACTTAATGACAGGTGTAGCCT